GGCCTTTCTGCCTTATTTCCCTCGGTGGCGGTAATGTTATTCGGAGTTTTGCCCATAAGTCTACTCCAATGAGCATGGGGCTTTCAAGGTTTGGTATAACGTCAAACGTGTGCCAGTATCTTCTGTCTCTTATCGTAACTGGTACCTTTACCTTTCCTTGAGTTTTTATACTTGTGCCATTCGCCAGGCGTATTGATTTGTCTCTTTTCTGTGTCGGATGTTGCCACTTGTTTGCTAACATCGCGGTTCTCCGGCTTATACATGAGATCTCGGATCCAGAGTCGATTAGTGCATTAAGCGGTGTCTTGTATATCTTGATCCTTATATGCGGGCGCGGTGTGTATTTTATGTGCGGTGTTCTTGGGACCGAGGGTCGCCCTATTGCTCCTCGGTCCGTGCGGCGTTTCCCGGTCGTGGATGGCAGTCTTTTGTTAAAACTCCATCTCTTCCGCATTGGGAGCAAAATTTCTTTGCCGGTTGTCTGCAGAATCGTCTTGTATGCCCCCTTTGTTTGCAGCGCCAGCAGCAATCCGTGGCATTGTATATTGCTGCCGTTTGCGATGATGTGCGTGCATTTGTGCGCATACTTTTCCTCTGACGCTCAATATCCTCTATCTCTGCTGCTTGGGCCCCTAGTTCTCTTAATATGTGTATATTCTCCCGTCTGATGTGCACACAGAAAAAACAGTTTTTAGATGTAACAAAAATTTGATATACCGAACCAAATAATTTGGTTAATATATGATTAACCAAATGTTTGGTTACTTGAACCAAAAAATTTGGTTCCTTTTATTTAGTTATTACAACCAAAATGTTTTTTTTGCCTTAAATAAAAATATATTAATGACAACCATATTTATGGTAGAGAATTTTATTCTTGTATTACAAAATAATCGCCATCAATTGATTTTACTAACGAAGTAACGTTGTACTTATTAACTGACTTACAATTACATTTTAAAGTTTTCCATTTTGTCGTAAATGAAACGCGATAAGCGTGCAAATGTCTCGAAAAACTAAGTGTTTCTAAAATTTGCAAAATAAAAAATGGTTTTCTTGCTTCATTTAAGCAAATAAAATGTATAATACCATAAACGGGTAACACATCCGTTACACTTAAATTTAATACAAATCGTGGTTTAAATAAAATGCTTTGAATTTTAATCCATGAAACAATTGTATAAGTTTTTGGTAAATATTCTTTGAACAAATCAAAATGAGGGTGAGAATATGCAGAATCTGTAGAAACACTTGGCCCGAGTGACATTTCATCAGTTAATGAAATTTCATTAAGTAATCTATAATTCAATTTTAACAGGTGTTTCAATGTAAGAGTAAATGGCAAATTTTTTCTACTAATTATAATATGTGATTCTATCTTTGACTCTTTATGTTTCGCTTCGAAACGCATACACCAAAGATTCACTAAAGGTCCTACACGAAGCATAAGTTGTGCAACATATTATGATGTTTTGTTTTTAAAGTGTTTCCAAATAATCTAATGTAAATTTCATGATGTTCCGTTACCAAACATTGCAAATATTTAACTTCTTGCAATGAAAAAGATCTAGCGTTTAAAATATCAATTATCGCTCTTAGAGTAAGGTATAATTCCCAATGAGAATCATTTAGAGGTACAAGATCGCCAATAATGAGACCAAAATATTTCGTAAAACGCATTACTTGAGTTGCTGAAAAAAAAAAAACCTAAACAATACTTATTTAATTTTTCTTTTTTTAAAAAAGGAATTCGATTGCTCAATTCACTTACGCCAAAGTCAAAAGCTCCAATACGATCATTTAGATCTTGAAATGTAAAAAGTTTTAAATTTGTAATATACTGCAATATAATTTGAGACAGATCGTACTCGCAAACTCCTTCATAAATATCATGCATGATATCAAGAGCACTGTTCTCCAAAATATGAAAATCTTCTATTTCATTAAATAATTATCTTCTATTTCATTCTTCATTTATTCCAGTTGTAGTAACATCATTATTTTCAACATCAAGTTTGTAATTTTCTATATTACGCAAAAGTTCAGATTTTTCATAAGTTGCACTCAGTAATTCGTTACGAGATATTTTACATACTGAACATGGGCTATTGGCCGAAAAAGATTGAACGAACCCACCTATTTCGTGACGACCAAGATTATCTGCTACAAATAAAGAACAATTTACATAAACATCAATGTTATCCTTTGTCGTGTAAACTGGATGTGTATGTAAAAATTTCAGTTCTTTAATAAGTGGTAGAAAAATCTTTCGATTTCCAAATTCTTTTCGATCACTACTGTTAAATAGTAATGCAATCTGTATATTAAGAAGATGAGATTGAGCATGTGGAGATATACATGGCAAAGAGTAATATACAGCACCAATTTTATGAGTACCAGTTCGTGAGCCAAGTGGATCATTTACTTCAAATTCATTGTAATAAAATATAAGAGGAATAATTATCCTATTCGGATACTTTTCTTGTAATTTTTTAAATAATTGAGCCTGAATTATATTTGAGATACCATTTGATTCCATTGATAAGTTTCGCATATAATTTAAAATTTGTTGTAAGAAACCAGGAAGAGCAAATAATTTTTATATTACTGGTTTTACAGATATATATTGACCGGTTACATTGGTAGGTACAATTGTGTAATTTGAACCAATTTTTTTCCCGATATTTTGCTGTCCAATTATATACGATTCTGGTTCTATTAAGGTATCTTGTTCTTTAAAATATTTAAATCGTTTGAATTCTGTATCAAGTGATTCAAATGGATTTTCAAATAAGTTAAAAATTTGCTCAATTTTATTCTGGATTACACTATCGTTTGTGATCAAATCTAGAATATTTGGTTTAAGATATGAAAATATTATTTTATTGACAAACATACGTGTAGAATCAACAATTTCTTGTACATGCATTCTATTCATTGACAATTCATTATAAAAGCTAGCTGCAAATTTTGCAGCTTCGTGTTGTAATTCTTTTTTTAAGTCGACAAAAGTCTGCTCAGTGTTGTCAAAATTATAAGTAAATTCTTCTTGACTCACAAACAAATCGGAAGTAAGAATATCAAAATCTCTGTTATCATTTGTGGCTGATATATCAACAGCAGAACTTTTTATATTCGAAGATTTTTTATTATCTTTCGAATGATCAGTAATTAAATGATTTTTAAAAACATTTATATTTTGAAAAATACGATAACAGTAATTTTGCATACATACGTAACGATCACATAATTCAAATGTGTGAAATAAAGAAAAATGACGGATAAACGGATTAATATCTTTGAACTTTGTCTCACATAAATGGCAACGGAACATCTTGAATGATAGAATCACAATCGCAAGATATTTTTATAAGTAGCGTAAAGAAAAATAACATAAAATATTTCAAATTTCAAAATTCAAGCATGGAAACAACTCTAATGTGCATATTAACACTATTTTATACGCTTAATGATATATAAAACTATATTTTTATAATTAATCAGTCAAAATATATATAAAATGAAATATAAAATATAGAATTTTACTCAAACACAACTGTCTTAAATATATGTTCGATAAAGTCACATATTGGATTAAAGTCTATTCAAATTATCGATCAGAGTCATTACAGACTTACTATATTTATCCCATTTTGTTGTTCGTTCATAAATATATTTTTGTATAAAAAACAAAATCTGTTCGCAGGCAGGTGGATATTTGACATTCAGAACTTGAAAAATCTTGTACAAAATGTCAACAGCCTTTAAGACATTTTCCATTTTATACATTATATCATCAATGATGATATAAAATGCTTCAATTGCGGTGAGTTGTGATCCTATTGCAATTATGTACGGCTGTAGAGTTTCTTTTAATTTATTGGCGTTCTCTCGTCTTCGACGTTTTACTATTTCCAAATCTCCTGGTACCTATAATATTCAAATTTTTATTACTAACTAATTAGTGTCTATATAATTTTAAATTTTAGATCTAAGATAACTTATTAATTAATGTCTCGTTAAAATTTGATTATAAAATATTATTTAATTATAAATAAATAGCTTACTTTAATATGACAAATAAAAGCATCTATTGATTCTGCTATAGTAGGTCGCCATGTCTTCTTTCTTCCTGATATCTTTAGTCGCACATTGGAAGGACACAGCACTGGTATTAAAGAAAGCAGTGCCGCATTTCTACATTCTATACAACATAATTAAATAAAAACTTACGTAAACTTGACATTTATTAAGTTCATTTTTATATCTAATTTTATATTAAATATTTTATTACCATTTCCTTTTTCGTATAATTGAATCTCTTCCAGTTGTTTAACAAAAGTTTTATCTTTTATCATTCGATTTTGCAGTAATATTTCGAATTTTTCAGATAGTTCAGGCCACTCGTTATAAATATTTGATTTTTTATCGATTAAGGCATTATAATCATTATCCAGCTGAAATGTAAAAAACAATATAATATAAAATATAAAATTGAAAAAAATGAATTTTTTATTATACGTACAAGCACGTAACCAAATTCCTGTTCACTGGATATTCTTTAAAAATGTCATAAACGTTTCCTGTATGTTGCTTTATAAAATCTTGTCTTAGTTCAGAGATTTATCCCAATGTTCTTTTACAGCCGACCAAGGTGTTGTATTATATCGTAACCATTGCAGGTGTGTTTTACAAGCACGTTTAGCTATATTTACATTTAAATTTAGTAAATTTAATTCTGAATTTTTTTTAAGATCTTTTACAAGATATATTACTGTCACTTTGATTAAATTTATAACATATTTAAGAAAATATAATTTTAAAAAATAACTGTTTTATTGTTATATACGTACTTTCAGGATTAACGTATAATTCAATATTTGAATCATCTATATTTTCATCAGTTTTTTTTCGTTTTAATATAAGTCCAATTTGTCGACATACATCGAGTTTATTTCGATAAAAATCCCGCAGTTTTCCTTTTGACACTTTTTGGGACGGTCCTTCAGATTTTGGTGGAACATAATAAAATGCTTGTTGCTCATTCGGAAACAAGGCCCTGATTTTTTGTGATAAAACGTCGAAATCGGCATTCAGCAAACGAACTCTGTAAGCATTAAATCATATTTATAAAAATACATATTGATATAAAAACAGAATACAAATATTTTTTATTAATATTTAGCAACATTACATTTCTATCTCATCATCAGATTTTTTAAATATAAATTGATTAATAAAAAGTTCGGTTAATTTTCTACGTTTGGCTTCATCGAGTATGTCATGCTTCTCATAATGTTTAATAATAATTTGTCCATCTATAAAGCTTAGTAACAATTTTTTCAAATCCTATAAAAAAAATACTTGTAAAATATTAATAACATTAATTAAATATTTATAAAATTATATTTTGCATAGAAATGTTATACCGTATTTTGAACTGATGCAGATTGATTTAAAACGTATAAAATTGTATTTTGATTGTTGTCATCTTTTTTTGATACTTTCTTTTTGATGCTACATTCTCTTAAATTAAAATTATCATCTTCGAAACTTGATGCATCTTCGATACTTGATGAACAGTTTAATGAATCTTCAAGAACATTTTTTGTGCATACGATGTCTGTAAACAAAAAAAACATTTCTGATTATATTTCTTTCGATTATTTTATGACTACGATCGACTTGCTACAAATGCTTCGGAGCGTTCTTCCTCTCTTTGTCTCTTTATTAAAAGTAAAGAGAAAAAAATGCTTTGAAGCATTTGTAACATCAAGTTGACTGCAATCTATATATATTGTGCAATTCAATTTATATCATATAATTTAATTTAGAGTTATAATATTTGTATTAACTATTTATTTATATATTTTATTATTTTAAATTTATTTATTTTTTTAACAAGTATTTTATTATAATATTATATTATAATTATTATATTATTATATTTATTTATATTACTATAATATTTTAACAAACATTTTTATAAATACCGAAGGTTGTGAATCACTGCAGGATAATTCTACTTTTTCAAAATTTTCTTTAGAAATTTCTTCTTTTTCTTTATAGATAGGAGGTAATCCTGTAAGGGATCTTGATAACTGCTGGCATGATTTTAATTGTTCCAGTTTATTATCATCTGAGGTTGCACGCGATTTCTCCTGTAAAAATAGTAATAATTTTTGTATACACTTTACTTCTATTTATTAAAATTAAAAAAAAAATTAAAATTGTGTTTTACCAATTTTATATTGTCTATCAATAATTTTCTTTTTTCAAGAAAACAACGAATTCCTCCAATTGTTGTTATTATACGTGACACTTCAGTCTCAGTTATATTTAGAAAAGCTTCCTTATCAATGTCTTCTTCTAAATTCAATAAGATATGAATATAAAATAAAAAAATTAATATTGTTTGACGATTTAATTTAAACCTAATTTTAATTGTAAATTACAATCGGTCATATTATCTTAATCAATGAAAAATATTCACCATATTAGAATGTGCATTTTTTTTCTCTGCCACCGATCTAAGATTGTGTGTATAACAATAAGAAACGTCTAACCGAAACAAATACCAATCAGTGTATTATTGTTCGAAAAAAAAAACAGTGTAATCGTTATTCAATTATTTCACTTTCACAGTCTTGCTTAGCAACAAACTCTTTCTCTAAAAAGCGTATAAAGCGTATATAATATAGTATATTATAGTTTAATGACGAAATGTTACCATATTAAGGTTATGACCGAA